ACACTAACGATGCCGCCACCTACCTCATCGTCATCTTGCTGGAGATATCATTGTCGTCGATCGAACAATGCCAGCGAAATCCATCATCGACCCTTTCTCCTGTAGTATTTTTTTTTCTCTGCCCAAGCGTCAGGAGGAACTACCTTTCCAACCAAGCCAGAATCTACTTCTCTCTATGCCAAAACACATGACAGACAAAACTCAAAATTTAGCCAAGTCTGGATCTACTTCGCTCTATGCCGAAACACATGACAGACAAAACTCAAAATTCAGTCAAGCTTGAATTTTAAGTCTTTCTTTAGGCACTGCAAAAACTGCAGCCAAAAGACAAACACAGTTGTCTACTTGCCGAAACATATGACAGATAAAACTCAAAATTCAGTCAAGCCTGAGTTTTGTGTCTTCCTACAGACATTGCAGAAACTGCAGTCAAAAGAAAATCACAGTTGTCTACTTTCGTGCAAACTCCTCTTCATCATTACATGGAGGAGCTTTCAGTTTGCCTACAAACACTGCAGAAATTACAGTTAAAGACAATCAAACTTGTGTACTTCCCTACAAATTCCATACAACATTACTAGCAGGAGTTTTCCGTCTACCTACACACTGCAGGAACTGTATCCACTACTGTCTACTTACCTGTAAACTCCCTTGTAGCATTACCTATAGGAGTCTTCTACCTGCCTAAACAAACACTGTAGAAAATGCTGCCAAAGACAATCATAGTACAGAATAAAGACTTCAAGTTCTACTTCACAGGATCTTCCTCGCCCATTGTTTGATGTTTTTAAATTCAAGTTGAATTTGGTTTTCAACCATGTTTCAAATTGAGGGGGAGTGTTAGGAATTATAATATGAAATAATTTATTCCTGTAAGAAGTTATGAGGAATAAATTATTTTATTATATTAAGGAGATATTTTCTTTCCTAATTTATATTTATTTCCTTGGATTAAGAATTATTTGTTTTCCTATTTTATTTTATTTTCTATATCTCCTAATAATTAATATGAATTAATTATTAGAGATATTGAGTGATATATATTTAATTTCATATAATTTACTTTTTATTATTTTTTCTATTATATGATTCTTGTAAGGGTTATTTATACTTTCGTTCATATCAATGAAATAAATCAAGTATTTCACTGTATATCACGCTATTCTGAATTTCAACATAGATCATCATCTAAAACATATTTCTACTTATCTGATGCAATTGGAGGCAGCACTGTGTCAGGATCCTGCCCATTTTGCCTGTTGTTGTTTGTTCTAAACCTTTAGATGCCGCACAATTTCTTCCAGAGATTGACAGTAAAATCCGCTCTCAACTCTTTCACTCGACTCTATTCGCTTTTGTTTGTTCCAGCCATCTAAAGGTTGCATTATTTTTTTCAAGTGTTGTCGTTTGAGTCCACTCCTGATTTCTTGGCTTGATGATGCAGCTTCTAATCCGCCTAAAGTAGTGACACTGCTCTTCTGTCGCACAACCTTATGTAGTTGTTGTTATTGCTCGCGTTCGTTTCAACGCTGCTTGATCCCGTGATGGATGGAGGCGATTTTGTGTGAAACTCCATGATCTTTTTCATCATTTCTTCTAAGGCTATGAATCTCCGCTCCCATCGCAGGACCGAGAAATGTTCTTCTATTTCAGATCTTATGTGGCTCAAATTTCCCTTTAATTTCTCCTCCAAAGCATCCATTTTCTTTGTCGATATTACTCCCACAAGACTTTTATTCACAAAAGCAAAATTTTTGTACCTTTAAATCTCGTTGTTGGCTCTTTAGCTCGTTCAGCTCGGTAAAGAAGAAATGTCGTGCGATCAAGTTACGCCTCAGCTCACTGCGATTCTGCCTGCTTTCTCAAATCTCAACTATATCACACAGTTATCAGACAATGAGATGGAAACCTCTACACCGCGATCTCGTTGGCTCCCCAACAAGCTCAAATAACGACTATATCGCGTTATTGTAAGTCGTGACCCCATCGGCTAGCTAGCAGGCTCAAATCATGATTGTATTGTGTCCTATAAGCTGTGATCCCACAGTTGCACGGAAGGACCATACGCTGTGATTCCGAGGTTGTCGCTCGAACCAACTAGGTTTAATTACCTGCCGATTTCTTTCCAGCTAGGTCTAATCGTGAATGGTTCGCGTAGTTGAACTATATTGCCACAAATTGGTATGAGATGAATTTATACGCAACGAATGAGACATACCGCCGTTGATGAAGACCTGGGCACCACGATTATGTCGGTGGTTTCCAAGAATCGATAGCTCTGATACCAATTTGATAGGAATAGGTGAAGATTTTTTATAGAACTTAGGGCACAAAATATTTTATTGAATGAACAACAAACAACTTGACACAAATACATAAAGATAATGATCTACAATTTAAGAGGTATGCGATCTCTCGCAAATGTTACAATTCGAGAGGTAGGACCCAATCCCTAACCCTAAAAGATTCAATGAGCCAAACCCACGCATAACACTAACCCTAAACATTTTAGTCCTATTTATACTAACAACAACAATAATAATAAAAGACTAAATTTCCCTTATGCTAATAAAAGATAAAATTTTCCTTAAGCTAGGCACCGACATCAACATGTAATATAAAATTGTATTTGTAAACACTTATCTCTATTTTTTCTAGATAAGCATGATCTTTGAAGTTCTAGTGATACCGGAGAAAAAACAATTGATCTTGAATTTTATTGTTGATAATTCGAAAGAATCACAATAAATTTTCTTAAAACTGGAAATAAAATAACACAAAGCACAAATGTGCCTCTAGGGCTAGGGTGAAGGTGATGAACGCCGGCTGGACAGCAGGCGTGCGGGTGGTTTGGAAGTTGCGCCAGCAGGTAAGGTTGGTGGAAGTATATGAGGGTGCCTAGGAAGGTTGGCGGCAACAGGGAGGGGGTGTAGGGAGGACTGGCCTCAACAGGTCTGGTGCAGGAAGACTAGCGACTTGTCACGATCAAAAAGTCCCACATTGGCTAGGTGTAGGGCTGAAAAGAAGTATTTAAGTTCTGGGCTGCCCACCACCCCTAAGAGCTCTTTTGGGAGGTGACAAGTGGTATCAGAGCAGATTATTGTCTGCTAGGCGCGCGGACTCTTAATGGTCCATTGGGCCCCTCGGTGGAGCCGGTCCACAGACAAAAAGTCCCACATCGGCGGTGTAGGGCCGAAAAATAGTATTTAAGTCCTGGGCTGCCCACCACTCCTAAGAGCTCTTTTGGGAGGTGACAAACTTTAGGTAAAGGCACTGGGAGCGCTAGCGTCGGCAGGTAGAGGGGCAGGAGGGCCTGGCTTCAAGCAGGTAGGGGGCCGGTAGGGTGTCGACAGCAGGAACCAGAAAGGTGGGAAGTGCTGGGAAGAGGGCAGCCAGCTGGGAAGGCAAATATGAAGAAGATTTGTAGAGGTAACCACCACCTCGGAGTAGGATACTGCCGGAGCACCACCTGTTTTTGGATGCAATCCTAGGAAGGGAGACCACGCAGATGGCGATAAATCTGAAAGCAGCAAAAAGACCAAATTCACATCCATGTTGAACCTGTTGATCTGGTTCAGCCCTAGCCTGTCATCTAGTCCAAGGAAAAAAGAAAACATCTTGGCCAATGGTTTTAGGCTACCTTTGCGGAGTGCAATAATTTGCACCATTTTAATGTCAACTTATGACATTGAACTAGCAGCTTTCAACACTCTAAAAATTTGGTTGTTTGGCTGATATTTGAGCAGTATCAAACATCAATCGAGAAAGCCCAAAAAATTTTTGGCTTTTATAAGCAGTCTCAAAAGTTATACCATGTTTGACCCTTCAAACTATTGTTAATTAGGTGCTAAATTATATGCCACTGGGAATAGTATAGTATCGTTAAACTACCATATAACTCCGAATGCAAGCAAGCGCACACAGCCAAATAGTAGATGTAAGGATGATGGTCTGCCCATAAATGAAAGAAGTGAATCTTACCCATCTAAAAGTGACTTAAAAGGCCATATTTGATTGTGCTTGTAATTAGAAAGCATAAGTGATGAAATTGCTAAATGCTTTTATTGGTTTTATGTAATTAGATAATATATTGGATTATAACTCAACTCTGTCAAATATGATAATTTCATTTCGAGTAAAGTGTGACTATTTATCTGGGGTCATTTTAGTTTTAGTCTATAAAATGTCACATTGGTCCCTAAAATCTTTTAATATGTGCTAAAATAAATCCCAGGGAGGACTATTTAGCCCCCATCTGAAAGAATGAGGGGACTAAATTGACTCTTTTATGGACTGGGGCTAAAATTATTCCCCATAAAAAGTCAATAGAACATTTTGACAATTTTCTCATTTTATAACCAGAATGGCACACAAACAAAGCCATCATCATCTAAAACATACTTCTACTTACCTGATGCTTTCTTGTTAGATGCCAACTAAAATCAAGGAAATTTATTGCTCACCTTCCAGTTTTAGATTGCCACTAGTAGGCTAAAAAGTAAGCACTCTATTATGTGATGAAGCTGTAGATTGTATTAACTATTCATTATGCATAGACTTCGGTAGGTTTTTTCACCAGATACACTCTTTTACTTCCATTTTAAATTGTTCATTATGTAAGCACTCACTCTCCCTGCATTGTTTTCTTGTTTTTTCCTTTTTATTTTTTTCTTTTTTTCCTTCCATGTCCTGTAATGTTGTTTTACCAATAGACTGCCATATTTATATAATCAAGCATTGGCATACCTACCACCTAAGTCCTATGTATTTACATGTCTAACACCTAAACTTTACTTTTTTATATTTATAACTCCCAAATTTTTCATATCACAGAAAAAACCCACTTTTTTAACTTTTAAAAAGTGAAATACACATTTTCATGCATAGATAAGGTGACATATATATACATGGGAACTGTGGTATGTATGTAAATTTTCCTTGTATAATTGGCCAAAGGTCAATTATCTGGAATAACACCTAATACTACCACTGTGTTCCAGGGACATGGAAACGACTTTGACTATTCCCAACCAATGTTGCTAAATCTTGGGAGGAATGTTCAGGCTTTACACGTGTCATGTGGATTTAATCACAGTGGTGGAATATTTGAATACAGTCAAAATTGAGGTTGGTCACCAACCAAAACTTACCCACACCCTTCACATTATCTATTCATTTGTAAAGGCATGGTATAAAATAATTATAATATTCCTCATATTCTCTATGTTTTTTGTGCATGTATATCAAAGATATTCATCGCCATGTAAACCCAAGTCTAAACAATATATATTGTTTTAACATTTTTAATGTAAAAATAGCCTTTGATAGTCTTATATTTTGGTGTAAATATGCTGTGGTTTATATGTAATTTGCTGTTTTGATTAGGTATCCTTTTGCTCTAATGTAATTTAGTTCATGATTTTTATACAGAAATTGTATTTAGATATTCTGATTATATTTTTGGATCATTTACTCGCATAACACACAATTATATGAAATAAATAATGAAAAATTTAATGTAATTATTAAGCTTATTTAATTAAAATTATGATTCATGTCAAATTCCTGAAATTTTATTTTAATCCTTTTTATCATAAGTAATTATCATAATTAAACAACACTAAAATTAATAAATTTAGTTGCACATTAATTAACATCAACTAACCTTAATTAACATCAACTAACCTTATTAATTTTTTTAATTAATTTTCAAATTATTTAAATTAATTGAAATTGCAGCTTACACTTGCTAATAATACCGTTGAAAATATTTTAAATAAGTTTCTAAAAATTCAAAAAATACAAAATTTCGTTGCTAAAAGCATGAAAAAAAATTCGTTTGGCTGTTTCGGTATCTTTTATTTGATTTTTTTGCATTGATTTTAATATTCATTAAATAAAAAAAATAAAGAAATTAGGATTACAAAATTAAATTCATTTTTAAAAATAATTTGAGCATTTGATATTAAATTTTGATCTTAAAATAAAATTTTGAAGTTATAATTATTTCAAATTTTAGTAGAACAAACATTAAATTTCAAATTTATTGACAGAGATACATTTGGGTTCAGGTTAGATTAGTTTTGAAATTTGAATTTTAACTCCATTCAATTTGGCTAATCTATAACTATAAATCAACCCATTCAAATCAACCATTGGCACACCACCATACAAAACCAAACTTGTTGAAGCCACCATTGTAGAATCAGAACAAATTTCTTTAATATTTGAAAACATAGTAATTTTGTTACAAAACTACCAGAGCCGAGCCTACAACTCTTCAAAACTGAACTAATCAATGCTTCCTGTAATTATTATTTAAGAAAAAAAAAAAAGAAAAAACATACAAAAGAATGAAAAATACATGCTGTCACATTCATCATAAAAATATGATCTTGATCCCACATATTCCTTCTCATGATTCCCCAAAGTCTGCTCCGCCGCATCAGCTGCTGTTGGAGTTCGGAAAAATTAAATCTTTCGAGTCTCGAAGCTGTAGAGACCCAGCGAGAGAGTGAGAATCGTCGTCCCCAATACAAGAACACAGTAACAGCAGTAAGAAACAATGGAGGTCGGTCAGAGGAGAGCTCCCCACACAGCTCCATCTCCTTCCCCACAACGAGCGTGCACGTCCTTTATTCTCTCCACAGACTTGCAGATGCCGCTGCAGCTCCAATCAAATGATGCCACGCACACATTCCCTGCTTGAGCCTTCCATTCACAATCTGAGCAATTTCACCAAACCTTTTAATTAAGGATTTATATACATACATACCCACATCATTCTCATGTATTCTCATTTTGACACTTTAAAGATAAGTTAACAAAAGAAATAAAACCTGGAGGAGTTCCACAGCACATGTTCCTGTCATCAATATGTTCAACATCAAGCCCAATAAACCATGCACCAAGAGAAACATCTTCATTTGCATACTTGTGAAGTATAGGCCTATAACATAAAGAAAAGAAAAAAAAACACATTATAATTATAATCATAAATAGTTAATTGTGTTACAGAGAAGTCACCAGCCATGACTCAACTGGTTTATAGAAATGAAGGTTGCCAGATCTTTCGAGATGGCGTAGATCTGGCCGGTCGCATGGCGGAAGTATTTGTTCCCTTCTTCGCCAAATTTCCAGTATTCGGGCTCGTGATACTTTACATTCCTGTAATAATGGTACAAAATACATTAGCTTTTTGCTTGGAAAACCGGCTTTAACATGATTTGTTTTCATTATTTTAGGGTTTAGTGTGGCAGACTAAAAAAGAAGAGGAAGCTAAAGATATACTTATTTGAGAGAACTGGACCAGATTTCATGCACCCGACGTAGACCCTTGGTTTGGACCTATGGCGAGAGAGAGTTGCGGCTAGCATACCTGAAACATAAGGAAAAAAAAAAAAAAAACACTTCACTATTGTAATCAAAATTACTTGTCTAAGAAGGCATATAGAAAAAATCATTAAAATTATGGGGCACTTATATACATGCCAAACAATTCTTATGTATTTACATATCTAACACCTGACATTCATAATTACATGTATATCGCTCAAATTTTTAGCATCACATCAAAAATACCACCATCACCATAATTTTAAAAGTAAGAAAACACCATTTCATGCATAGGTTTATGACACCAAGGTGTCATAAATATAAATATCAAAAGTTGAGTGTTAGACATTCAAATACATAAGAATTGTGTGTTATGTATGTAAATTTACTTAAAGTTAAGTATACATACCTAAGTTTACATGGACATCATCATCCACCTTGACATAAAATTCAGCATCCCAAAGAGTAACTGCTGTGGAAAAGAATATCTTTGTTTTTGCAGATAATTCATGATACCCTTCAACATGATCCTGATCATATACATGGATGTTGTTATAAAAAAAATTCCAAGGCATTTAAGCTTTTGTGCTTTGATGAATAGAGAAAAAAAGAGCGCATTTACCAGTCTCAGAAAGTCATTATGTTGTTCTTCTTCGGAATCAATTGCCCTATCGAGAATGCTATTCGACGTAGCGCTGCACGCAAAAAAAAAATCAAAGATGTGTGAGGATGAGTGCAATGAAACATAGATACGCATTTCTCTATCAAAACTTGTACTGTGTTATGAAAGGAAATACGGTGAATTTCGCTTGATGAAAACTATAAAGAAATACAATTTAGCAATATAAATATGTGAAAGTGTGTCAAATATGACCGGTGCACTTGTCGTATAGTTTATACATATAATTAATACACAGAGAAAATAAGATGAAATACCTGTGGCCAATCATAAACCGGATAATGATGCCCTTCTCCCGTTCGAGTTCTTTTAGCTTCTCACCTGAGCGGACATAAATGGTTCTCATGTAAGTGTTATAATGCCAGGATAAAAATACATCAAAAATAAAATTTAGAAGGAAAAATCTGTCATGCACATGTCACAATAGAATATGTTTTCATTTTTTGGGTCATTTACATTCATACCAAGTAATTCCTATGTATTTACCTATCTAATATCTAAACTGCACTTTTCAAATTTACAACACCCAAAATTTTCATATCACATCTATAATACCACCATTTTAAGAAAGTGACGTACACCATTTCATGCATAGGTAAGGTGATATGTGTGTAAAAATTGAAGTTTAGGTATTAGATACATAAATACATAGGAATTGAGCGGGGCATGTATGAAAATCTTCCAATCTTTTTATTTAGTTAAAAATCTTATTATACTAATAGCAGCACACTTCTTTTGCTAATCTGATAAATAACAATTATTGGTTCAATGAATACATGCATTCTGCAAAGTTGCTGAAGCACAATATTCACATACTCTCTCATTTGAGGAGATATAAAACAGTATATGTGATAGGTGTTAGAAATACACAAAAGCTGCAAAGAGTTCACCAACAAATCAAATAGTTAGGCCAAAGAGAAATACAATCATCATCATCTTCATAAGCTTTATCCAACACAATATCCAAAACCCCAACTTTGGATTCATTTTATGAAGTTTGGTTAAAGTTTTAAAATTGTCATCATCATAACATCAACCCTCAACCTTTTCTCTTAAGGCTTGAGAGCGAAAATCATAGATTTAATCGAAGAAATATGAGCAAATTTGATCAATCATTTGTGTCCTTTGAACCATCATCTAGATAGAGATCAAAGTAAAGCATGCAAATGAAATTTGCAAAGTAACATGAACAATTCATCAATCATAATCTCATTTTTCCACTACTGAAGCATAATTAACAAATTTTACAGATTTAAACAAGGTAAAAAAGGAAATTAGGTAGTAACCTTGAGGCATCCAGGTATCTCTGACAGAATCACGCCTCTTCCTGCTACTAAATGCTGTATTGATCCCAATAACAATAAAAGCCTTCTTTTTCTGCTGGCTGGAAGCTGTAATGGTTGGAGACCCATTAGAGCCTGTAAGCTCATGAGAGCTTCTGGTTACCGCCAGCTCCATCTGTAGCGTTGATATCGTCTTATCCAAAGATCTGAAGATACAGATCAAATTCAGAAAAAAATATCAACTAAACCCTAAAATTCAGATACTTGGAGAAGAAGGAATCAGTAAGAAGAAGAAGGTGTTCGGAATCATCAACTCACTGTAAGGCTTCATGGGTTCTCGTGACCTCCCCCATTACATCCTTGTCAAGATCAACCTTCTGTTTTAGATTCAATCACTGTTAAAATAAGAACCAGAAAGCGCCAAAAAGAATGAAGGTTAAAGATAGAAACTAACAGATAATAACAGTACCAACCTTCCTAGTCGCGCAATCTTCCGATACAACATGGAGCTCCTGCTCCTTCCTCCCCTGCGAGATCATCTGTTTGTTCGAATCTACCCGTTTATTCAAATCCGGAAACCTAATCAACCCCGAAAAGAACTCGATCATTAAGTAAAATCTAGAAGAAGAAGAAGAAGAAGAAACCCTAATGAAAAATCGACGAGGGATTCACCTATCAGTGAATAGCATTCCGAGGCCGAAGCTCGCGACGCAAAGCAAAATGATCCATCTCGTCGACACCCTCTTCTCCGCACCTCCATTGACCCTCGCCTTCATCATTTTCTTCCCCTTCTCTCCCGAATCTCCTCCTCGATTCGAACAAAGACCGCGCCTTTATTGAAAAACAGAGCAGATTCGAAAGGAGAAGAAGACCCGCAATCTCGGAAAGCGAGAGGAAGTCAAAGGCGACGGCTTCAAAGACGGGAGACTGTGAGAGTCGAGAAAGCTCCTGCGTAGAAGAAGGAAAGAGGAAGAAGCTGATCGCCCCTCCATTTCCTCAGCTTATAAAAAAAATGGCGAATTGCTCCAAATACTTCAAATTAATGCTGAGAAGATAGATTTTCGGTTCCTTTTTAGTATAAAAAAAAATAAAAAAAAATAAAAAAAAAACATTCATATAAATATTATATTTATTTAAATAAATAATTAATTATATTGTAAATTTATTATTATATTGTCTATATTTGTAAAAATTATCACTCAAATGTTAAAATTATTGAATTTATTTATTTATTTCCTTAAAGGTGTAGAGTCCAAACATTTGTTTTTATTATCAATAGCCATAAAAAAATTCAATAATAAGTTTGATATAATCATATTGCTGTTAATTTATAAATATTAAATTAAAAAGGAAGAAAATTTAAAAGTAAATAACAGAGAAAGTTTGGGCACGATGAGGCGTTGGCATTTGGAGGACAGAAAACTGCATAATACATTAATTAATGCTAATGAAGATAGTTAAGCAGATGGCATCTATCACTTGGGATACTAATTCTCACGATTTACAGACAATTACATTATTTTAACGCATTACATTAAATGAAACTCTTTAATTCGAATCTGAAGTTAAGAAAAAATTAATGATCTTTTAATTAATGTTCTAAATTTCGGTAACTTCGATTCAATTTACTTGATTTCGATACGTTTTTTTTCGTTGAAACTCGTGCAAATATTTATTAATTTTATGCTGTTTTTGGTGAATTTATTATTTTTTATTTTTAAATATTTACACACGGGCCACCCAATTCTTACCCCCCGTTTTTTTTTTTTTTTTTTTTTTTTTTTTGCATTTATACCATCCATATATTTCATATCACATTAAAAAATGCTGTCTTTTTAATTCTTAAGAAGTAATATATACTTTTTTTCATACATTGAGGTGGTATGAATGTAAAAATTAAAGGCTAACTGTTAGATATCTAATTACATAGTAATTGAGTTGTGTGTATGTAAATCTTCATTAGGAATTGAAGTTACGGGTACAATTATTTTAGGGACTGTATGATTTACAGGGAATGAAGTGCAATCTAAAAAGCTCGTAAATGAAGTATTGTTATTATAATGTATTTGAAATACTTTATAATTGTTGGGTTCACTGTAAATCAATGTTTTATAGTTTTTTTGTATGATTTGAAGTAGATTGAAATAATATATTTTTAAAAAAAATTTCCCGGCAGCAACATATGACCGAAAAATGGCAGGCCGAATGTGAATGGAAGATGGTCGGCGGCGGTGGGCGGGCGGCGAGTGGCGGGTAGAGATGGTGGCAGTGGGGGCCGGGTGGTGGCGCAGCGGTCGACGACAGTGATAGTGGCTGCAACGGAGAGGGATGGCTGCCTGTGGTAGAGGGCAGGCGGCGGGCGACAACGTGTGGCAAACAACGGGCGACAATTTGCTGATTAAAGTTTAGTGTAATTTAAATTCAATCAAATCTGTCAAATTTTAAATTCAGCTAAAATGAACTGAAGAGTGACTTCAAATTCATTGAAACATTACATTTTACTTGTACCGTTTCATACTAAACACATAATTTTCTCAAATCTTTGTAAATGGATTACATTACACTAAAAATTCTTCCAACCAAAGAACCCTTTAGTTTTAAGGGAGTTTTATCAATAGTCCTATGAAATTTCATTAATTGTAGTTTGTATTTTAATTAGAATTTTTTTTTTGGTTAATTTCGAACTTAACTTTTTGGGGCTCTAAATAAACTAAAATGGTCTGGCAATTGTGCGAGCACGCAGATATCTGCATATAATATTTTTTTTCCTAAAAAAGAAATTAATTATCATATTTATAATATATTTAGATGAAGCAAATAGGTACCATTCTATATTACTGATACGTCACCAACAAATTTTCAACAGCCAGCACGAATCTTGATGCAATTTTGAACATGAATCATTTAAACTTTGATTAAGAGTCGTACAGAGCTTCGATTTCAGCAAACTTATAATCAAATTGACCGGCGCGATGAGACGCACCTAATGACATGAAAGTGAGTCAAATCAAGTCTGGATCAAATTATTAAACCACTCTTTGAGGATTTCAGGAGGCATTTGAAAGGTCAAATGAATGTTGAATCTAGCGAGTTTATAGTCGAATCTAGCGTTTTAACAAGAAGAATCCAACGAGCCCCAAAGCACTCAATTCTGACATCATTAAGACACTCAAATGTTCATTAAACGTCGTTCAATCGAGGGAAGCTCTCCGGACCGTCCGATCAAAATGGTTCATATTTATGCATTAATTACACCCAGAACACTATAAATAGAGTTCCACTCTCACATGAGGGAGGAGGCTGGAGAGTAAACTTGATGCTTTAGGAAAGAGCTCAAGTCCAACATTATCCCTGCCATCGTCGACCTTCGTCGACCACCACCGACCGCTGTCGACCACCACCGACCTTCGGCGACCACCGCCAACCTTTGTCGACCACCGCCAACCACCACGATTATCGATGATCACCATTGTCCTCCGTCGACCATCGTTGACGGTCATCGACCGTCGTCGACCACCGCTGAATTTCGTCGACCATCACCGACCGTCATCGATTGTCATTAACTACAGTCCATCATTACCGATCTCTGTGGACCACCGCTGATTAAACACCGTCAATCGACGTTGTAACTTGGAAAGCTAGTAACCCTTTCTCGTCTGTGGGATAAGAGATCGCCGTAATCATCAACCTATAGTGAATTTTTATAACTAGGTCAGGCCTCGTAGTTTTTTCCCTTTACGGGTTTTCTACGTAAAAACTTTTGGTGTCATCACAGATTATTTCCCCTTTCATCTGAGTGTGTATTGAATCCTTATATAACGCTAAGACGATAATCCATTACTCTACTGCCGTGAATTTTCTGGCACGCATCTGTTACAGCTTCACATTTCTTTAGAAAGTGAGTTGGAGGCGATGATGCATCAAAATCGTGCCATGAAGATGGCAAACAATTCATACAAATCTAATTTAATCCCCACCCCCATGATGTATATTACCCAATAATTGATATTACAATACTCTTTTACTGCATACATCTCTATAACATATCATCCTGAGCTCATCCTAATATTGATACATCCTCTAATGTAATTAATGAAACCAAACAATATATATTCAAGATAGATATGAAATAAATAACCTAATAATATAAAATGGTGTAAATCATTAGATGATAATAATAAGAAGATTTAAGTACATACCACTAAATTCTTATGTATTTGTATATTTAGCAATTATATTTCAATTTTTACATATGACAAGTCATCAAAAAATTTTCATCATTGGGCATGAATCTCGATGCATGACAAGAATAATGAGTCATTTTTTTAGTTCAAATTTCAATTAAAAATCATCCAAACTCTTATCTCAGCAAAATTACAGTGAAATTGGTTAGCTCGACGAGACGAACACAATGACGACAATATTGACCCAATATGAATCAAATCAAACATATGTTGAGTCGCTAAAGTATTTTTGGAAGCTTTTGGTACCCGATTGGAAGATCAAATGGACTTCAAATTTTTTAAATTTATACTCAAATCAAGAGTCTTGAAGAGAAGAATCCAATAAGCCCGATATCATTTAATTTTGACACGGTTAAGGCACTCAAATGTCCACAAAACACTGATCGATCAAAGGAATCTCTCCAGGTCTTTCGATGGAGTGCTTTGAATTATTGTCTTGTTTATTAGGAGGCCTTTCAAAGACTCTATAAATAAAATTTCCACCCCTCTTTCAAGAAGAGGGAGGAAGATCTAGACTTTGAACCGGAGGAAGCCAGAGACTTGGAGGAGAAGGAGCTGAGATATGATGTTCTACACCAAAGGTCTAGTGAGCACCATCCACATCTGCATCCACCGACCACAATTAACTACTGCTCGTCGGCCGCCCTCTGCTCGTTCCAATGAAGGCACTAACTAAATCACGACGTACGCTATAGAGTAACAAAGAATCATGCAAAGTAACCACTAGACCCGCAGAGTAACAACATACCCTAAGATGGAGTAATGATGCAACTCAAAGATGATGTAACAACACACCTTGAATACAATGCGAAGATGCACCCCACGTATCTTACAACGACGTCTTTCAAACACCGTGCAACAATGCATTCCTCAATAACTGCTTGTAACTATCGTACTTAAAATACGGTTCAATGATTTTATCATGGCTATTGCAACCTTCAACTCTGGCTATGTGGCTTATAGACACTATTACAGTTCGTGCAATTCCCAACTTCAACTTATGGACGTTATCACATCTAATGTTGCTTCCAACTCTGGCCTTTATGGCCTACAGATGTCTACGAATGTTATCTTAGCCATGCAACTCACAACTTCAACATCTATGGTTGATCGCTATCTCAGCTCATGCAACTCCCAACTCCAGCATCTGTGACATACATGCATTATCATACATCACACAAATCCCAACTCTGACCTCTGTAGCCTATGTATATTATTACAGCTCCTAACTACGACTTTTGTGACCAACTGACACTCATACAGCAACAATCTACGACTCACATAACCAAATATTATCATGACTTTCAAGAAAAGCCTCCACATTGAGCTGGCTCTACAACCGTTGTCCAAAACATTCAAAACAAACTACTGTCTCCATAACAATTGACTATGACCCTTGTAGTCAGCTATCACAGAGAATTACATTAGTTACAACCAAATTAAAGCTAATATCAATAGACTTATATTGTATGACTTTGTAATTTCATCTTCTCTATTTCGGCAGAAGAGCTGACCTATATAATCATAGTTACATAGTAAATTATTTCAACTAAACTAGACCTCATGATTTTTTCCTCTTTCAAGAACTTTCCACGTAAAAACTTCTTGTGTCTATACTTGTTACTTTAATTACCTGAGTATGTGATGGATTTTCGTGTAACTCTAAGACACTAAATAATCAAATTATTACAATGAATATGCCAACACGCGTCATCATACATACCTCCTTAATTACCTATGGATGAAAAGATGTACTTCTTAAAAGTT